GTTGGTACATTTTACCAGTTTTTACCATACTTTCAAAACAAAAATTAAAATAGGAAAAATATGCAATATGAAAATAATCGAAGACAAAATGTGTTTTACTGAGAAAAAACAAGATTTGTTTTTTAAAAAGCCTTTTTCCAAAAGGTACATCTGGAAAAAGGGGGGTCGTCTTATAATCAGGGTCGTCTTATATTCGAGCCAATATGGTATTTTCCATGCCTGTTTTAGCTAAATTATATTTTTAACTAGGCCATCCATATAGTCCCATCCAGAACTCACGTCATTAACTGAGACAGAAGCAGATCAGAGTTTTAAAAGCGTCATGGTATTTCCCTTTTTTTTAGGACATCAAACTACCAGCGACTGACTTACAGTGACTCGTTAACCTGACACCTCAAACACTATTATAACATACAGAAAATGACATGCTTCAGCTTTAAACCTCATGATCAGGAGAGATTCTTCCTGCGGTATTAAACTACACGTTCCTTCCTGAATTAGCATGTGTTGCGCGGCGTCTGTCCTCACTGCTAACAGACGCTCTGTCTGTCCCTCGTTTGCATGCAGTAGTTGATGATTCACAGAGTCACGGCGAACCAGACGCTGTCCCTTTAAATATCCCTGCTAGCTCTGTGTGAGTTGTTGTTGTTGGCGTAGTGTTTTGCGTCGCTCTCTGGCTCCTCCTCACGGCTCTGGGCAGAATCACAGCATTCAGAGAGAAAACAAAGCAAATGAACGGCTGTGACATGTGCTCCAGGGGTTTGGTGACGCCCATCCTGCTGCTCAACTGAGGTCAAAGGTGACTTCTGCTGAAAGACAGGGGTGTATCTGTCGTTTCAAAATTTTGGATTAATTATGATGCTTTTAATGTTTTTGAGAGAAGTCTCTTCTGCTCACCAAGGCTGTATTTATTTGATAAAAAATTGTGAAATATTATTATAATGTAAAGTAACTCTTTTCTATGTGAATATATTTTAAAATGTAATTTATTCCTGTGATGCAAAGCTGAATTTTCAGCAGCCTTTGCTTACTTCTCAAGGATCATGTGACACTGAAGACTGGAGTTAAAGATGCTGAAAATTCAGCTTTGATCACAGAAATAAAATACATTTTAAAATATATTCACATAGAATTTTTTTTTGGTAATATTTCACAATTTTACTGTTTTTACTGTATTTTTAATCAAATAAATGTAGCCTTGGTGAGCAGAAGAGACTTCTGTCATTAAATATTAACTATTAACTTAATTGGTACAAACAGCTGGAAAGGTAATACATTTACATATAATAATAAATGAAATATTTTGAAGTTTGTCTAGCATTCATTTCTTCAGGTGTGAAACTTTTCTTTGCAAATGGAGACAAATGACTTGGTGACTAAAACGACATCAAATGATGTTTTACATTTACATTTAGTCATTTAGCAGTTTTCTGTGCCGAACCCTCATTGACGTGCTCATCCATCCTCTGTTTCTCTTCCTTGTCTAAAGGTCATCTCTCCAGACTGTCACGAAGATGTGACATTGAAGAAAGACAACGTTTTTGTTCGCTCCTTCAAAGATGGAAAATTGTGAGTAACTTTCAAATGAAGTTATTTCTGTCTGTGCTTCTACTTTTAGCTCTAGAGGTGCAGAAAAGTCAAGCTATGAAAACGTCACGTGTGCTTTATATAAATGTGTTTTTACACAACATCCATTAAACAGAAAGCCGAATGCTAAAGTAGGGAGAGACGGAGAATATTGTAGTTAAACACCCATCTCAGATTAACCTCCTGAAAGATGAAAACTGTGAGAACCGCCGTTATACAGGTTGCTTAGTTCCTCCTTCAATGCATTTCTGTGGGATATTTGTTTGCGTTGCATGCAAACGTTTAATATGGCGTATTAGAGTTTCTCTTTTTAATGAGCAGCTGTAAAAGTGGTGCATTATTTAACAAATACAGATAATAAAATCTCAAGCTTCATGTATGAAAATCTCACAAAACCTTATATATAGTCAATGCACTACTGTTCAAATGTTTGGGGTCGGTAAGATTTATTTTAGTTTTTGAAGTCTGTTTTGCTCAAGGATGCATTTATTTGATAAATTCAGTAAAATCTGTAAAATTGTGAAATATTATTGCAATTTAAAATAACTGTTTTCTAAGTGAATTTATATTAAAATGTAATTTATTTCTGTGATCAAAGCTGAATTTTCCGTGTCACATGATCTTCAGAAATCATTCTAATATGCTGATTTGCTGCTCAAGAAACATTTCTGATTATTATCAATGTTGAAAACAGTTGTGCTGCCCGATATTTTTGTGAAAACCGTGATACATTTTATTTTTCATGATTTACAGATTAATAGAAAGCTCAAAAGAACAGTATTTATTTGAAATAGAAATCTTTTGTAACATTATAAATGTCTTCACTGTCACTTTTGATCGATTTAATGCGTCCTTGCTGAATAAAAGTATTAATCTCTTGTACTGTAGCGCATAGACATCATTTAACAATGAAAGGCTTGTGAATGGGTTTCTGTACTCGTGTAAGCGCTCATCTTCACTGCTCCCGCTAGTGTCTGCTTTGGCACAGTCATGACATCTCTGTCCCATGTAGATTTATAAATATATTAATGAACAGAGGCATGTCTGCTAGCTAATAATGACCTCAATAAAGGTGTTTGGACACTTCAGGACGTCTGTGACTTCATATATCCACTAAAAACCAGCAAAACAGCAGCCGATTTAAAGCACTGAGAAAACATCTGCAGAGTTTCAGCACAGTAATAAATGACGTGTAGTTATTTCAACTGTGATTTTTAGGTGTCCAAATACTTTTAAAGGGATGATAGACTTACTGATTGGTTGTTTGCCTGAATAAAAAGAGCCGATCTTCATATCTGGTGCTGAGAAATGGCCTGTTGCTTGATTACATAACCGCTGTTTTCCCAGAATAAAGGTTTTGTTGGTAAATTCGGTGCATTTTTAAAGAAGTCCCTCAGGAAGCAGTGTGATGATGCTGATTTGATGTGGATGTCTGAAATAAATTCTTAAACTGTCACATTCATGTCTTTGCAAGCATATTATACAGTTAAATGCAATAAGAAAATTCCGTAGATACTTAATGGTACTCGTAATGGATTGTAAAGTCAGAATGCTGTTTCATACGGCAGTGTGTTGAAATATGAGCAGTAATTAACTCAGAGATGACGGTGATTTATTATGTGTTCTCTCCTATGTAATGAATCACTGCTGACAGTGTTGTATTTTGTCTTATAGTTACACAGTTTTGCGGAAAGACATTCGAGAGCTGGATGAAGAGAAAGCTCCTAAAGCGGACGCAGGACTCAAACCAGGTGAGAACAAGTGTGACGCATGGGTCAGTGTGTATTCAGGGCAGGAGTATAATTATAAACTATAAACCATAAAGAAAACAAAACATTTTCATTACTTGAATATATATATGTGTGTGTGTGTGTGTAAATATATACATACAAAAAAAAAAAATTATTTCAGCAAGTTGCCAAGGCAACATTTCTCATTTTTGTTTAGTTTAAATTAAAGTATTAAAATAACTAAAACTAAATCAACTAAAACTACAAATTTAAAAAATATAAATATTTTAAAAACTATTAATATTTTGAAATAAAAAACATATTTAAAAATAAATTAAAACTAATAAAAAAAATTTTTTTTAAAAAGACCAAAACTTTAAAGGGTCATATGATGCTGCTAAAAAGAACATTATTTTGTGTATTTGGTGTAATGAAATGTGTTTATGCGGTTTAAATTAAAAAAAACACATTTTTGTGGAGAGACAACCGGAATGTTTTGGAAACACATGATAATGGTGAAAAAGAGAGGACAGAAAAGGAGAGTGTGTACAGGGAAGAGCGTTCACGGTGAAAATTGGTCCCTCAGCGACCAGCACAGATCAGCTCTAGGCATGACAAAGCGGATATCGTCCTCTTTTGGAAGACCAAACAAAGTAGTTTTGCTTTCACAACGAAACACACAGCGTCTTCACGACATGGCTGCAGCGTCAACAAAACTACAGTGAGACTAAAAGTTACGCCTTCTTTCTTTGTGTGAACATTTGGGCGGTGTTATGCAAATCTTCCCACATAGTGAGGTAGACATGTGGGGGCGTGTTAGAACGAGCCGTTTTAGGTAGGTGTGGTTGACTCTTAACTTTTATAAAGAATATCTCTTTGGATTTGAGACTTTAGTCTTTGCAACTTTACAGATCTTCTTTATGCACCAAGAGCTTGTAACACTCCAAAGAGAAAGTAAACATTGATATCGCATCATATGACCCCTTTAAGTAAATTTAAAATGAAAACAGAAAATACAACAATAAAATCTAATTCAAAATATTAACAAAAACTATAATAATATTTTTTTATCCTCTGAAATGTGCTGTTGCTTATATTGCAAAGCGACTTATATAATGAAGTTAGCATAAAGCACACAAACACATGCTGAACACACACATTTAGAAGTTTATTCGTATAACACATTTCCCACACGCCGCTGCTTTCAGTTTGGCTTTAAATGAATTTGTTTAGGCTTGCCATTTATAGTAAATGTTGTTTATAATGAATGCCACTTTAATTTATGTTTGTTTTATACTTACATTTTTCATTCATGTTGTGTTCTGGAATTTGAAAAATTGAAGGGAAACTGAAATACATGTTTATAATGTTTTGGTTTTATTTACATTGCACTTTGTTATTTCTGAATGTAGTAATATAATGTCGCTCATACACTGATGCAACTTGTCTGTGTTTTTTTTTGTTTGTTTGTTTTTCTTTTCTCACTCTCAACAATGCAGTTTTGACCCGGTGTACAGAATATACATATTTTGTTATAAATGTAAAATATATTTTTTCCATATACATAATTAACATGTTTAAATCAATTATTTTTACATTTATCCAATTAAATGTTGTAATTTGCAAAGATTCATGGGATTGTATTTCTTTACATCATTAAAGTGTTATGTACTAGGGTTGCAAAAAGGTGGAAAATTTCCAGTAAATTTGGAATATTCCAAAAAAAAATCCTGGAAAGTTTCCAAAATTTCTGGAATTTCCAGGATTTTTTTAGAATATTCCATGGATTTTTGGAAAGTTTCCGGAAATTTTCCACCCCTTTGCAACCATATTATGTACAGTCTTGTATCTAATGTCTTGTATGTTTTTGCTTCAAATTAAAGTTTGAAGGGCCGATGAAAAAGAAAAAAAAAATTCCAGTCACATGGAGCACATTGTGATCTCATTGTCGCTGTTCGTGTTTCACAGCGTTAGATGCAGCGTGGGATTTCCAGCGTAACCGCACTGTGCCCAACACGTGGAGGACGGAGGTGAAGGATGAAAGCTCCAGCAGTGAGGATGATGAAGAGGAGGAGGAACATGAGAAAGAGGCCAGCAGCGAGGAGGAAGAGGTGAGATAGAAACTCGCCATTCTGAGAAGAAAAGTCAGAAATGTGAGAGTAAAAACAAAAAAAAAGTAGATTCCGTGGCAGAAAAAAAAACAGAATTGCAAGATGTAAACTCAGAATTCTGAGAAAAAAGAAAATCGGAATTTTGAGATAAAAAGTATCAAAAAAAATCTGTGTATCATTCGTTCTTTTGAAACAGCACCTTTTCCGTTTTTCACTTCTTCAAAAAAAAAAAAAGTGAAAAACAACGATTCGACTTGATTTTTCGTTTTTGCGTTCAGAGGTAGAAAATCAATAAACAGCTTAAATATTCGATCTCCACACATGAGCGGGAATGAAACGCCCCTTTCTGCTGATTGGTCAACCAAAGATCAGTTCTTACAGAGAATAAAAGTCCTCCACTGTATGGATTCTTAAAGTGTTTATTACAAATACATTTCTTCTCTTTCTCATCAAACGACCAGACTGACAAATTAATTTTCTTCCTCTGAAAGCAAAAACGAAAAATCAAGCCGAATCGTTGTTTTTCGATTATTTTGAACAAATGAAAAATGAAAAATGACAATTTTTTCGTTTATCTATTTGCAATATTAAATCAAAAATCAAATGAACAAATGATAAACTGATTCAAAAACCCTTTTTATGTTTTATTGTGTGTCGGAAACCAAAAAAAAAAAAATCTGAATGAATTCAGAGGAAAAATATATAAACTAGCAGTTGTGAGTAAAACTAGTGAAATAAAAACTGGAAATTACCATTTTATATTTATTTCATGCCAGAAACAAAAAAAAAAGAGAGAATTGTGATATGTAAACTCAGAAATGCAAGAAAAAAGTCAGAATTCTGAGATATAAACTTGCAATTCTGAGGGAAAAATTGAGTTCAAAAATAGCAAATCCCTTTTTATTCTGTGGCAGAAACAAAGAAACAATGAATTCTGAGAAAAAAATGTCAGAATTGCAAGATATAAACTCGCAATTCCAAAAAAGAATTGTAAAATAAAAACTTTTTGTGAGATATAAACCTGCAGTTGTGAGGGGGAAAAGTCACTTTGAGATAAAAAGTCACAATCACCTTTTTATTTTTTATTCTGTGGCGGAAACAATAAAAAACAATGAATTCTGAGGAACCAAAGAAGTCAGAATTGTGATTGAAATCAACTTTTTTATTTTATATTTAGTGGCATTAACGAAAAAACAATTGTGAGATATAAACTCAGAATTTGTTGTTGTTGTTGTTTTTTTACTCTGTGGCAGAAACAAACAAACAAAAAAAACAATGAATTCTGAGGAATGAAAGTCAGAATGGTGAGACATAAACTCAAAATGACCTTTTTTATTTCATATTTCATGGTCAGAGTTGAAGATATGTAAACTTGCGATTCTGAGGCGAAAAAGTCTGCATTTTAAGTCACAATTGCTTTTTTTATTTTTTAATTCCCTGGCAGTAACAAGCTTCCATAAAACTCTGAATCTGATTGCATTAGAGGATCTGCGCTGATGCTTATGTAGACGTGTGCTGATATAGAGGTGCTTTCACTCTTACAGCACGAGCTCCTGTCATCAGCCGTTTGCTTACCTTGATTTGTTGACCACAAAATATCACCTTTAGACTTTGAGCGGCCCGTTTCTTCATGAAAGAGTGATCGATGAACAGCTTGTGCGTGTGATGACAGGTTTCGCTGTTACTCAGACCTGCATTAAAGCTGTCAGAGCTGCGGCTGGGTGTGTGTGTGTTTGTGTGTGTGTTTGTGTGTGTGTGTGTGTGTGTGTGTGTGTGTGTTTGTGTGTGTGTGGTGTGTGTGTGTGTGTGTGTGCGTGTGTCTTTGTGTGTGTGTGTGGGTGCGTGTGTTTGTGTGTGTGTTTGTGCATTTGTTTGTGTGTGTTTGTGCACATTTGTGTGTGTGTTGGTGCGTGTTTTTGTGCGTGTTTGTGTGTGTTTGTGTGTGTGTGTGTGTGTGTGTGTGTGCTGTCATAGTTACATAAACCAGATTTTAGAGGAAAACACATCACAGCCAGACAGTCTTCATAATGGTACTGTAACGAGCTGTTTTTTCCAACAAGTAGCAACCAAACATTACATGGCTAATGTTCATCTCCTGTTGTGCGCAGCTTTACGAACGATCCCACATGAAAAAATACTATAGTAATTTATAGTAAATACTATAGTGTTTTTGAACCATACTATACTAAAGTACTTGAATTAACTTGTTGTGGTAATTCTATAGTTGCTGTGGTAATATAACAACTATAGTAATCAGAGCTGGGAGTAAGTCACACATGTGCAAGTCACAAGTAAGTCTCAAGTCTTAACCTTCAAGTCTCAAGCAAGTCCAAGTACAGTATTTACTATAAATTACTATAGTATTTTTTCATGTGGGATCAGCTGCTCTTTGTTCTCTCTCTTGCAAATGAAGCACTGAAAGGTCCGATTCATTTAAGTGAATCACTTCATTTAACTGAGTCTTCTCAAAGAAAGAGAAACTGAATCTTTTGAGCCCTTGCTCACCATTTTATGTTTGTGTTGTGCATCAAAATAATTAATCAGACCCTGTTAATTATCCTTTTTTTTCAGCTCAGTTATTTTGATTTGATTGTTTTGTTTGTGTTATTAGTTCTATTTTTTGTCATTTTCTGTGTTATACAATACTGTTAAAAAGTTTGGGTCAGTAAGGTTTTTTATTTTTTTAAGAATTAAATACTTTTATTTGGTAAGGATGCATTAAATTGATCAAAAGTCACAGTAAAGGCATTTTATATTGTTACAAAATATTGTATCACAGTTTCCACAAAAATATTGTGCAGCACAACTGTTTTCAACACCGATAATAATCAGAAATGTTTCTTGAGCAGCAAATCATCATATTATTATGATTTCTGAAGATCATGTGACACTGAAGACTGGAGTAATGATGCTGAAAATTCAGCTTTGATCACAGAAATAAATTACATTTATTTGATCAAAAATATAATAATTCTGAAATATTATTACAATTTAAAATAGCTGTTTTCTATGTGAATATCTGATAAAATGTAATTTATTTCTGTGATCAAAGCTGAATGTTCAGCATCATTACTCCAGTCTTCAGTGTCACATGATCCTCAGAATTATTATATTTTTGATCAAATAAATGCAGCCTTGGTGAGCAGAAGAGACTGTCTCCTTAAATAGCTTCAGTGTAGTTAACTACTTTTGGTTAGTAGCTTGCAGTGTGACTAACTAGTTTTTTAAAAGCCTCTGAATGACACCCAACTCTCTGTGTTTGTATTTCCTGTACGCAGGAGGAAGTAGAGCCGTTCCCAGAAGAGAAAGACAACTTCCTACAGCAGCTTTACAAATTTATGGAGGACAGAGGTGAGCAGTGTTATTTTAGTATTTTTTTATGCTATTGTAGCATTTATTAAAATTTTGCTTTTATTTTTAGATTTTCAGTTTTTGTTTTAATTTGTTTATTTTAGTCTTTTTATGTGCTTTTGTCATTTAAAAAAATAAAAAATTCTCTAGTTTTAGTAATTTTAGTGCTTCAACTTTTTTTCAGTTTTATTTTATTTTATTTTATTTTATTTTAGTTTTTATTTTATTTTATTCCGAAAATGATTTGTTAATAGTTTTGCTTAACAATAAACAAATACTGGAGGTGAGAGGAATGCATGATGATATGCATATCTTGAATGCAATGTAAGCCGCTTTTGATAAAGCATCTGCCAGATGCATTAATGTTTTTTACTTTTAAGCTAACTAGCTTCTTTACTGTTCTGCTCAGGAACTCCTATCAATAAGCGACCGGTGCTGGGCTACAGGAACCTGAATCTTTTTCAACTCTACCGGCTGGTGCATAAGCTCGGAGGATTTGACAATGTGAGTTTTATTTGTGATCCTCCCCGTAGAGCTGAACGCTGGCACAGTCTGCAGTAGCTTTGACTCGACGTGTTCCTCCCTGTGTTTCAGATCGAGAGCGGATCTGTCTGGAAGCAGGTGTATCAGGATCTGGGCATCCCCGTGCTCCACTCCGCAGCCGGTTACAACGTCAAATGCGCCTACAGAAAGTACGTACATCCTTCATCAGCCCCTTTCACAGAGAGACAATGACAGCAAACCACGAGCTGCTCTTAGTTATTGTAAAAAAGCTTGCAAAGAACAAGCACTGAATGCATCTGTTCTGTCTGTTAGCGCAGAGCTGTTGCAAAATGTGGCACACGTCTTCTATCCAGAGTTATCGTTGTTGCTTACTACTATTAAAACAGTTTTATTAATCGAACTAAAGCTTAAATAAAGCAGACTGTAAATATTAGATAAAAAAAACTTAAGTTCAGTTATTTGCCAAGGCAACATTTTAGCTTATAATTTTTAACCAAATTGCTCAATTTGCATTCTGGTTGAGTTATTATTGACACAGCTGTTAGCAGTTAGGTGTTTAATGGTGCAGTGATGATAAGTTGACCACAGTGTTAATTTCGTTGACTAATTAAAATTTCGAACGGCATTTTTTTTCACTGACGATAACGAACTAAAACTCTTTTTGAATGACAAAAGCTATGACGTAAATCTATTGACATTTTCGTCAACGAATAAAAACGAGACGAAAATGTTAGAGAGGGACGATTTGGGAAGAGATTCATTCAGAATGAATCTGCTGCGTGGTTCGGAGGTTAGATGTGCTAATAGATAAGTTAATACTCTTGCTGCACGTCTCATAAAACGTTCAAAAATGTCAATATGTGGGAGTAAGAGAAGAGCAGACATATGGATAAATCTGAC